AGTCTGCATACCAAGGTAATAACTCTAGCTTAGACAGTTTTAAAGGGGGTTAAACAGTTTCATGGGAGAATCAGGGTACTCACAGAGTGGGGGGCAAATGAGGCCAAGTGATGTAATATGAACCATAACATCATGACATCATCATGTATTTTGACATCATCATGGCTTTTACTAGATTCCTATGTCAAGGGCTTCTAATCATGATGGCTGTAAGCTGTTTTCTGATGAGAAATAGTGTCACTTTGACTAACAGTTGATGGGGAGCCACAACAGGAAAAATCCCTCATCTTGATTCCCTGTTTGTGAGTTTCTTGGAGACCCTTGTGGCTGTATTTACACATAGCACTGCCAACATGTTTTGCTGAACAAGCCATGCCAGTATAGCTCAGACTTAACATTAGGCTGTGATGGATGGTATCCCATAATGTGCTAAGCCCAAAAGAACCAACCACATTATGGCTTATGTGAAGTAGGTTTATGGGAAACAAGATGCTGGAGCCCACGGCCTTTTTTTATAGACTTTTGTAGAACAAGTATACTGCTTGCAGATGTAGGTGTGCTTCAGCATCTAAGTGCTAGAGATGTTCCTGCCATCACCCAAACTAGAACTTCTTAATTACATGAAAAGCCAGTGCATTATGTTTTCAAAAATTGGACAGCATGGATAGTAGTTTGGCCCACTATATAATGTCTCTTAAATGAAATGGGTATATCCATGGCTCCCCACCCTTCAGATTATTCTGACTTAACTCTGTAAATCAGTTTATGCAGAGAGAGAGAGAGAGAGAGAGAGAGAAACAGGGCCAAGGTTATTTAGAGAGCTTTATAGAGAAAAAACATTTAGCTGGGCTTAATATGTGTTCTTTTAAAATGAGGGGAATTGTAAAAGATGTTCTTTATTGTTTACAAAGGGAGATGTGATGTCTTCTTGCCAGTTTTTTAAAATATACCAATCAGGTTTGGTGTTTGAAACCACTAATATGGGGGTGAGGTAGAATCTTAATATATACACGTGTGTCAGCACAATCATTACTACTAAAAATGTATGGTAGAATTTAACAGAGCTTATTAAGCTAATAGGAGGTACAGCAGCAGATCATGTGATCTTGCAGTCCATTCCCTGTCCTTGAGGCCACCTAGCATTGCTAATTGGCTTACCCTCCACAGCTTGTTTGATCTAGACCAGTGTTGTCCAAACTTGGCCACTTTAAGATGAGTGGACTTCAACTCCCCGAATTCCCCCCGCCCCCGAGCTGGGTTGGGAAATTCTGGGGGTTTTGGGGGCACCCTCTATAATTGGCAGGGTGGTGGCAAACACAATGTAAATGGAG